GGCATGATGATGCAGTTGAGGAAGCTCGCCAATCATCCCCTTCTCATGCGTGATTATTACGATGAGGATAAACTAAATGTATGTACGCAATCTGTGCAATTTCTTTCTATCGGTATTTTCTTTAATTAGTATATGATTTATTATAAATTATCAATCATTAAGGCTATAGCAAGTAGACTGGCGAAAGAACCAGGTTACAAACAGAAGAATCCAGAATACGTTTTTGAAGACCTGATTTGGACATCTGATTACCAAATAAATCAATTAACTCGTATATATAAAAGTATAGCCGGATTCGGTTTACCCCAAGAACTTATTCCTAAAGCTGGTAAATTAAAGGAACTGGACAAGATACTACCACAATTGAAAACGGATGGTCACAGGGTGCTCATATTTAGCCAGTTTACTATGGTATTAGACATACTTGAAGAATATCTAGCTATTAGGGGACAGACATTTTTAAGGTTTGTTATAATTAATTATTAATGTGGCTGTATACTGTCTCAGATTAATTCTAATGAATTTAATATTGAAATTTAGACTAGATGGCAGTACACCTGTGACTGAGAGACAGACTCTTATAAATAAATACACAGAAGACCCAAGTATATTCATATTTTTATTATCAACAAGAGCCGGAGGTTTAGGGATCAATTTAACTGCTGCCGATACAGTTATATTACACGATATAGACTTTAATCCGTACAATGACAAACAAGCAGAAGATCGATGTCACCGCGTGGGACAAAAGAAGTATGCATAATCACAAAATTTAAGCATATTTTTAAGTTGAGATAAAACTTTTTTATCATTCATTAAAATGAACATATTCAAGATGCTGAATTCTCTTGCAGACCCGTTTCTATCATAAGGTTATTAAGTGAAGGCACAATAGAGGAAGGCATGTACGAGATAGCGCAAGAAAAGTTGCATCTTGAACAACAAATTACTGGAGTAATTACTGAAGGTAAGTACACAACGTTTTATCTTATAATCGTGAAAAAATTAACAAAATGCATTTTGCTTACAGAAAATGAAAATGCGGATAAAAAGTCGATTCTAAAATTATTAAAGATGACCATAGGCCAAGATGTTCACAATAAATCTCTATCATCGATGAAAAATGCCAATAAAGGAACTGACGCTATAGAAAATGATAAAAATTTATAAATAAGGGAAATTTGTGATTCCCATTTGTAATAATTATAATTTTGATATATTTCAATTTAATTCGCGCTAATCATGTCAAATCACTGTGAATACGTATTTTGTAAAGGGTCACGTTTTTCGATCAACAATATTCAATCAGAAATATATTACAATTTGTAGATTTTATATTTATGATATGCGCTGTGGAATACTTCCTTTTTTATTTTATACATTTATTAAATCATTCTTTTATTTATCTATGCAATATGCATTTTGTTTTATTTTATATAGTACACTTAACATATTTTTCAAGATATTAAAATATACCTCAAAGTATAACGTCGAATAAACGAAAAAAATAATACGTTCTTAAAAAATATTTCTTTGCAATAAGCAAGAATTATTAAATTGCATTTTTTAATTTTAATATAAAATTGAAAATAATGTATATATATATAATAACCATCTTCAACACTTAAGGGCTGTCTATAGTAAGTAGTAAGCTGTAAGAAATTAACTAATTAGTTAAATGAGAAAACAGACTGTGATCGGTTGATTTCTTACAGCTTATTATACGTTCCATTGTAGGCGGCCCTTTAATCATTAATTGACACGTCAATGTTCGATTACAAAGAAAAAAAGTAGAAATTGCGTAAGTGAAATAAATATGGCACAGCTTTGTGAAAAATAAAAATAAATTTACACAATCACGATCCATTTATATAAACATTAATAAACATATTATTTTTTAGTTATATAGAAGACATGAAAAAATTTTATTATATATTACAATCCTCATGATATACTTTGGCTCATCAAGAGCTCTGACATTCCATCTTTAATGACTTTTAAGCTTTCTAAATCAGCGTTTATTGTCGAAATAAGCTGCGCCATGCCCTGCTGTTCCATGCTTAGGTACTGAAATAAGAAAATATTACACATACTATTCGATAATTTTTAATTAGAGCAAATGAACATTTTCTTACCGCTTTAATATCATCCTGTGCTATGGGATCCATTGTATACCTCTCTTGGTTTTGAATATCGATGTGCCGCCTCATTCTGAGCTGAGAGAGCATTTCACTAATTCTTCCTTTATATTGCGTTGGAGCACTGATTTGCGAATGCATTGCTTCAAATCTGCGTGTTAGAACTTCTTCTTCCGGTTGTAAGGATAATCCAACTTTTCGCGTAATCTCCTGCCGTACTAGCACCTTTAAACGGTTAACGGAAAAAAAGCATCATGATAAAATCAATTAATCACTGCGAAGCATCGGGTGGCTCGGTACTCGGTCCGCGAACTAGTAATCCGTGGATCCAGATTCGATCCCATCCATGCTTCACATATGCCAGATTTTTCTTTATGTTACGCACCATCTATGAATAAGAGTCTCAATTGCGGAATGTAATTAGGGTCTCGTGTAAAGTACACGTATGATATAAAGACTTTATATCATGAGTACACGGTAGCGTCGGCGCTTGTTAAATCAGGAACACAGTAGTGTCTTAGCGCCAAGACACTGCTGTGTTTCCTGATTTAAGGAGCATAATTGCTACACCGATTACGTATTCCCCTGATCATGGTGAAAGAAATCCAGATGTGCTCGGATTTCTTCCATCATGTCACTGATTAAAAGACAAGTTTGATTAAGTATACGTAAGACTTAAAAGTTAGTTGACGATCTGTTACTGGCCAATACGGCTCCACTTACGGAGCCAAGGGCCAATTGAAGAACAAGAAAAATTAATCGCTGCTATACCTGTAGAACCCTGTGCTGAAGTTCCAGTAATGTACGTCTATGTTCCTTAAGTCGGGCCTGTGTAGCTGTGTGCTGCCTTTGCAAGCCTTGTATTTTTTCAGCTGCCATGTCCAAAAACGCTCTATGTCTAGCAGTTTCCTCTTCTTGACATTTCAGTCTGTGTTTAACTTGCTGAAAGCCAACCATAGGAACTGGAATATACAGCTCTGGATTCGGATTGTCCAATTGCGCTTGCTTCCATAATCTGGCATCAATAGCGCAAGGTGGATTATCTAGGTACTCTTTCAGCTGTGATGGATCAAGTTTTACCAGTGGAAATATATCTTCCACTCCATTTTGTACTAACTGCTGTTTTTGCATGACTTGCGATAAATATGCGACCAATTCATTGGCAGGAATTTTTCTGTAAGAACCAGTGATTCCTTTTTCCGATACATATACTGTCACTTGACTTTTGTTCTCCCCCGTTGATTTAATATTATCAACGGTTACTGTCAGATTGGGCTTATTTCCCAGCAAACCATTGAGAAATGCTATTAATTGCTGTTTTCCATCCTGTACATCCTTTTCTTTCTTATTAAAGCATAATACTACTAAACCATCGTTGTTGTCAGCATCAGGTATGCGACTGTATCCAATGGCTTTAAATCTGCATAACGAATTTTCCTGAGTAAGGTCTATAGGTGGGGCATTTACGGAGTAATAAGCTTTTCCTGTACCCCATAATGCTTGAATAAGATTCCACCTGGCAATGGTATTATCTCGCTCATCATTATACAATTGACAATTAAACACAGCATTGTAGAGAGCTTCTGATGCAGTATTCGTAGGTTGTTGTTGTTGTTGTTGCTGTTGCTGCTGAGGCTGCGCCAATCCAATACCAAATCCAGTGAATCCTGTCCCTGTAGATATATATGTAATATATTAATAAAAAGTAAGGAAAAAATATTGCAATATCGGAAGTCTTAATCTATATGTAAAAAGATTTCGCATTACCTGTCCCAAATCCACCGAATGTACCACTGGTAGTAACTGGTTTGCTCCCAAATGCACCAAAACCTGATGTACCGAAACCTGTTGAAGCAGTGTTTGGAGTGCCGAATCCACCAAACAAGCTAGGGGCAGCAGTAGTGGTCGCAGTTCCAAATCCACCGAAACCTCCAAAACTTAATGTCGATGTTGTCGCTGTCCCAAAACCACCGAAACCAGTTGTGGAAGCAGGAGTGCTGCCAAATGTCGAAGTTGTACCGAATCCAGTGGTTGTGGAGGAAACGGGGGTACTACCGAAAGCTGGTGCCGAACCAAAGGCGCTGGTTGACGGGGTACCAAATGTAGGTGCAGCTCCAAAACCTGTGCTCGGTGCGCTGCCAAAACCAGTGGCTGTCGGGGTACCAAATCCAGTGCCAGTACCAAATCCGGTAGTCTGCGTCGACGGCGAGCCAAACAAGCTTGGTGTTGAAGTAGTCGGTGTATTAAACCCAAACGAGGGTGTTCCAAATCCTGGCACTTAAAAATTTGTAACTAGTTAGCACTTTCAATAAAAACTACAAAATAAACACTCTTGTTAAATATATCAATAAATACTATGTTTCGATATATACTACCAGTACTGAAATATCTATAATATATATAATATACATGCGCTATAGATTTACAATACTGTGGGCCAGTCGTTCCATCTTCGGATAAACTATGTAATAATTTATCTAATGAATAAACAAAAGAGTAAAAAAGTATGAGAGAGTAAGAGAATAAGAGAGTGAGCTAAAGTTTATCGAAAGATGGAACAACCCACTAAGTGTAGTAGATATCGAACAATGCTTAAGTCATCTTTTTTTGTTTAACATGAAGTTAGGTAAATATCAATTAAAAGGTATTTGCTATTATGACATTTTTCGTTGCTTGTTTTACGAAAATAATTTTAATTTAACGTTTATATTTTTGATTGTGATTACATATATTGGAAGATACTGCATGAATACTAAATTTAACTGTTTGCAGACATTATACTATTTGGATTTCCATATATTAAAAAATTTTAAAGTTGATTACAAATACATATATAAATTTGTAATATATGGTCATATAATATAAAATACTTAAATTAATACAAGATGGCATTCCTAAATCAACAGAATGATCTACAGGTAATAGCAACATAAAAATAGACTATTTTGATGCTAGGCAAACTTAAAACTTATAAGTATTTTTTGACGTTATTAAAATATAACAATTTAATACAGATTAATGTATATTAAAAATGTTTTCTTTAACAGACCAATTTCTACACACAATTGGCACATAATTCACTGCAGACAGTCGCTACATCTAATTCGATCCTCGGTCATATTAAGTCAGTACATGATCTTTCCACTCAAATTGTAAGCGAACTTGGTACTACAGATATAGCAATTGGGGTAACAATTGTTGTAACAATTTATTTCCCAACAGATTTAGCAATGATTTTGATTCAATTATCTTTGAGCAGGACGCAACTGCGGAAATCATGATAACGACACTTGGTAAAATTCCAAATGAAATGTATTATTTGGAAGATACAACTGCTGGTAAGAAAATTGGCGCTTACAGCACCGAGTCGCGCACAATACTGGATCACAGTCATACCACCCTGGCTTCGATCGAAACCGTCAAATCTGACGAATACTCTGAACGTTCGACATTGCTAATCATTTTGCTGACCACCCTCCTAATTATATTATTCATGTGTTGCATCACAGCGTGTATAATCGCGAGATCCAGGAGCAGACACTCTTTCCTCGCGAAGAGCGACGTCGAGTGCAGTCCGGATTGCGGGGGTGTAAACCAGCCTCTGCTGGACAAGGCTTCCGACACGACCACCAGAACTAGCTCGACGAGAAACTGAGGAGGGCCCATCTTTACGTCAAGCGTCTTGAACATTCCTCAACTTCATTGAAGAACTCGACAAAGTACCTCGCTGAAGTAACCTCAAAATTGTCACACAAATTGTCGCGAGATATCTATGCACGAAAGCGAGGAACGTATCCCTACGTCCGATAGAGAGACGAAATCAGAAGGAAGGAGAAAAGGAAGGAGGAGATGCGGATGAGAAATAAACAATCTTGTGACAAGAGGTGGCTTACCAGGTTTAACCGGCGTCGCTGTGGACGCAGGTGTGGTGCCAAACGCGAACGTGGGTGCGGGCGTTGACGTGGACGCTCCGAAGCCGCTACCGAACGACATAACGACTCCTCCCTGTACCGCGACTCGGGTCGAACACGCTGCTAATTGTGACGACGTACCCACTACCCACGTCGCAACGCGTGCGATCACGAGCCCGCGGCGACAGGAGCGAATCTCAATATGGCCGTTCGCACGTGCGATAAGAGCTTGGTTCTTCGCAACTGTACTTCGTGCACTTTTCACCTTCTCTCTTTCTCCCCTCAACGTACGACGTATGCCCGTCCTATTTTAGGTGCAGAAAGTGCAACGGAATGCAACGACAGAGAACAGATCCGTGCACGAGCGGGAGATTTAGTGGTGCGCAGAAAATCTGCGCGAGAGGCGACGTGCGAAATTTGTAAGGCCGGTATTCATAGTCAATTCTTATTTCAAGACCGTCTTAAGTAATGTCTTAAGACGCTAATGCAGCACTCTGATTGGTTCGTGACTTCTTAAGACCGTACTTAAGACGGTCTTGAATATAAGATCCGACTATGAATACCGGCATTATAAGTGGTTTTAGTTGTAAGAATTGACCAATCACAATTAAATATTTTCTTCACATTTGACCGAGATTAATTTTTACAACTACAACCTTTACAACTACGCTTATACAATTATAGAATAGGCTTTATTTTTTGAAAGAAAGCTTGTCACGTGCACGTCAAACGCATCGTTCGTCATCGCACTGTTGAATGTAGAAATCATATTTCTACGTAATCTTTATAGGGCGACTTTAATCAAATTTCGATTAACTCAATTAATAATTAATTATTGCCGATTAATTCAATCTGTAAAATTTTATTTCAAACTGAAAATAAAATTTCCAAATATATTATTTACTATCTCTAATCTATTTTTCCTTTCTTATGTTAAGAAATTAGAAAATTTTATTTATGTTAATAAAATATTAGACAGATATATTATAGTGTATAGTACAGATAATACATACATGATCAGCAGTTAATTCAGTTAGTAAAAGTACTTAAAAGTAAAATTTTTAACTATGTAATTTATTATCTCTAATCTAATTTGTTTTTATATTAAATAACAAAAAATTAATAATTTTGTTTATGTACAAAATGTAATAAAATAGTATGAATATTGATTAGACAGTCATCGATTAAAGTTCATTTCTGCCAATGTAGATCAATTTAATTTCGATTTAACTTTTTCTAGTTCTAATCCAATTAATATAAATTAAAAATAACATATAACATCAATGTTATAATTTCGCACTCAATAATATATATCAATAAATAAGCCAAACAACGTACATGTTCACAATCGAAATATAAGATGTCTCACATATTCCAAATTTGGACATGTGTCATCAAGCTTCAACCAGTGGATTTGCTTGCAGCGGGATATTAATTGCACAATTTATTATTCCTAATTCAGTAATTTTTCTTTGTCAGTAATTTTGATTTGTCAAACAACAAAAAATTGATAACTCTGTTTGTATAACATCAACGAAAAATTACTTAATAAATAAGCTGCTGATTAATTTAGCTAGTGATTAATTGAATCAATTGCATATAAAATTTCTAATTGTAATTAATTCACCATCCCCAATTTTTAATTTCTCTTTCCACGTGTCGAACAATGAGAAATTCTATTTGTATTAATGAGAGTAATATTTGACAGACCGACATTCACCGATTAAGTTAATTATTAGTGTTTAGAGTCACTCTTACTTAATTCGATATTTATACTAAATGTTATAACGTATTATATCCGCAATATACAACATATCGAATATACGCGTATCTTCTTAGAACCCCATCGGTCTTCGTTCCCTATCGCTATCCATTTATAATGAAATACGCGCGGAAGAGAAGAAACATTGACGTAAACTCTGGTGATTGTGTTTCAATTTTCTTTATTAAAATCTCAACTCTAGAAACAACGTAGAGATATTATACGAACACTCGCGATCACGCCGTGTCTTGCGTGAGCCACGCGAGCTTCGGCTCGAGTAAACAATATATCCCAAGGGTTCAATAATAATAGGTAGAGCCTTCGATTTTTAACGGATTTTATAATTCAAAAACTTAAAAATAAATATCTCCATAATCTAACGTACATATATGTGATACTTTCGTCAACAGTTCGATAGGACTATCATATAATGTATAATGCTAGACTTACAAGCGCCGTTTGCGCGGCAGTTGATCAAAACGAGTACAGTAAAAAATACTGCGTAGATGAACGCGCGTGGTATAAGTACCGTAAAATGAGAGAAATTACATTCCGTTTTAAATATTTCCTATACACGGGGATTTACGACGATAGATTTCACATATCTTCGGTTTTGTGTGCCTATAAAGAGAGAACACGCGACACATAATAGACAGCCGTAATATCCGCGTAAGATACACAATGTCTCAATACTGTACCGTTTCTCTCTCTTTTTTTACCGCTCTTTTTTTCTCTTTCTAAGGCGCAGTCAAATCGTATCGAAACATATAAAACAATTCCACACGCTATAAACTAACTTACGCTTTAGGTAACACGTGAGAAACGGAAAGACCGCCGTCACGAAATCATGTTTCACAGACATTACAGAGAGTCATTCTCGCGTTTGGCGTGTTCCAAGACTCGCATATTATATTCGCATATTGACCGTGTGCACGTTATAGATTTAATACTAGTTTTAGAAGAGAGTTTTGTCGCAAGCGTAGCGCTCGTTTGTGTGTATTGCTTTGGCATCATAGTCGGTGCAGTTCGTACATTTCGGCGATGTGCTGCGTGCCTAAAAAAACAAAAGGTCAAATACCATAAATCTCGCGAGCTCGCAGATGAATAATTACTGATACCAAATCCGTTCGTAAATGATTTGGAAGTCGGTGTAATGTAACATTCGTCCACATCCGTAAAGTATCGAAAACAATCCTGCATGCGTCCGGTGTGTTCTGTCAAAAATGTTCATCAAAAATCAACAATCGTGCACCCCGGCTTATGTGCTAAACGGCAACGATAATACTTCACCTCATCAAGACTCCCAAATTATAAACGAACGGCATGAAAATTCGTAAGCATTTAAATCTCGTTAGCACATTTCGCGTTTATCGACAGATGCATTAATCCGGATTGGACCAAATCGTAATTTGGTATCTTTGTCTCATCGAATTTGGGAGTACGCTTCATGAGGTTTACAACAACGTTTCGATGCTGTACACAATTAACATGACACTTTTCTAACGAGATTTAACTGCAATAACTGAGTCATATTGACCGTAAAGATTATTTTAGGCCTAACGTAAACATTGTAAATTGCTTCGTGTAACAAGTACGTGCTCTGTAACAAACGATAAACATGTTATAAACATCATCCTGAGCCATGTCAAATCCAATTTGCAATTTATAGCCGCAATGTCCTATATACCGGTTAAATAATTAAATTTTTCTTTAAGTACAACATGTTTATTATATTTATATATATTGTGCGTTTCAAAATATATTTATATTCTCTCTCTCTCTCTCTCTCTCTCTCTCTCTCTCTCTTGAGTTTGGAAAGATAAATATTTTCACACGAAAATTACGTACCCCGGTATAAGAATTTAATTTCTAGTTCCTTCGTTCTTATTAGAAACCATGAAGGAATCGTAATATTGCTGTTAACTGTACCGTTTAGCGAACACGTTTCGTTTACATCCGTTATAGTTTTTTATTTTTCTCTTGAAATTCATATTTTTACGAAAAATATCAAGGTATACATATACATTTGACTGAAAACGGTGATAACATTAACGGCTTAAAATACTTCGTTATATTTTTCTTCGAGTATATAGTTCTTCGTAAAAGAGTTAAAAGTCAAGATATAAAACACTCAAAAGCTCCATCCCTGAAAATGTTATTCCGCGGAAGGGGGGTAACTTGGTCCATAGGATAAGATTGTATTACGCTAAGGAAATCCGGTTGAGTACTTTCTCACAGGTGCTGAAAAATACACCTGATAAAATTTCACAAACGTCCAATCTCGGGTGTCTACACAACAGCTAATGGGAATCGGGCTACATATAAAAATACACATATGTCGTTCTGCCAATAAATAATGAATTGATAATAGTAGATAATTATAGAAAGAAGAACACATTATCATCAGAAAGGTAGAGCTAATTTTCACAAAATTTTCACGGAACATAGGCCAAATTTCATTAGATCGTATATTTCCTGTTTATCTGAATTCGCAGGAAGAGAGTCACTAGCTCACTATACGATAAAAATTACTACTTCACGTATACTTATTAATCTCGATACTATTTGCATATTTAAATATTTAGCGATATACACTAAAACTATGAAATTGGTTTACTAAAGCGATTTTTACTAAAGTGATAAGCGCTATATATATAAATTATATTATTAATTAAAAAAAATTCTTTAAACGATTTGATGAGCTAAACATTCACATTTACATGACATTAACACTCTATTCGTCAATTTTATTATTGCATTAATAGATTACTTTTTATATCTATTGAGTCTGTAATAAATGAAGGCAACACAACATAATTTATCGTGTGCAAGTTGCGTGAAAAAAATGCATGCGCTATTGTTTTTTAATAACTTAAAATCATTATTCAGTTTCTGGCATTCTATTATTCTTTTATGTGCAGATACAGTCACTTAATATTTCATTGCCTGTGTTATCACCGCATTGCGGTGTAGCTATCGTGGATAAACGTGTACTCCGGTCACTTCAACGAGACATTGTCTGAGGGTGCATCGTGAAGAAACACGCAAGTACGTACCCGTCGATACTTACGATAAATAATACCGGAAATATGATTTGATTTAAAAGCGAAGCGTTACGATAATCACCGAGATCGATTGAAAAGAACTTTAGGTCCCAAATGTATCGCGCGAATGCATAAGGACGTCCATAGCGGTGTCCTCTGACTTTACTCGTGTCACGTGTGTGAGGAGATTATAAGTACGTCTCTGAAAACTCAACATCAGAAGCGGAAGCGCGGGAGGATTTTGTACAAATGGAAATACCCCCACCGATAGCACTGTCCGATGTTCCCTCGCCGGTCGGATAGTCAGCAATGATGAAGGACTGTTTGGGCTGACTTTGTCTGCAACGACTTGTGCCGGTTCCTTTTAGGGCGTCACGTTCAGCCAGCTTCTGCTTGATGGCTTGAATCTTTTCTTCTTTCTGAAATATATAGGCTTGAATAAGCAAGAGAATAATGAAAGAGTTATACGTAATGATAGCAGATATTAGTAAAATATCTGTTTTAGAATAAATTTAGTAGAATGAAATATTTTTATAAAAGAAATAATTCTGGTTTTAGAACGTATGATATCGTCACAATGACTGCATTCAGCAGAAAAGACAGTTGTTGCTTTAATATGGTTTACGTTTGGATTCAATGAAGAACTAAGACAGGAACCAATCATGTTAGCGAATTGGATATCGGATAAAAAAGCAGTTTTGCAACTATTGTAAGATGTTTTAATATGGCTCTTGCCTTTAATTCTTCACTGAGAATCCAAATGTATAAACCAATTATATTAAAAAATTTTGCAACAGTTACAAAGCTGGTTTTTCTGCTGAACGTTTTGGTGGCGTTTATTTTGCACCTATTGGAAGTTTCTTCATGCTGATTATACTTTTTTGGGGATTATACTTTTAGATCTAGAAAAATGGTCTTATCTTAGCGAAAAAAACTTTCAACATTTGTGAAATAAATATTCTACTGAATCATTAGCAAACCTGTAGAGACAAAAGAATACAACAGAAAAAATATGATAGTCTCGCTAATGCACGCTAAAAGAAAATGCTTCAACATGCAGTCCTTAATACGTACATTTATTTAAGCATTCCTATTTCTAACGTTACTTTTATTTATTATTAAAAATAATTTTATTTACGCATTGACATTGAATTCTTACCGCAGCAATGAGCTTCTGAAGATCGTCGTTTTCGATGAGCAGTTTCTGATACTTCTCTTCTTCTTCCTTGGATACTGCACTGTCCGGGTTGTACCTCGACTCGGACTTATCTTTGGGATGCCTGATCACTTCAATGACCTTCGGTACAAAGATGAGAGCCATGCTGAGGAAGCAACAGAAGATAGTGGCTAGCGCCGAGAAGGCATAACTCGCATCCTGTTGGCTAGAGATGACCATTACAACAGGTACCGTAATGAAACATAGAACTACGATGTTATATATCGACATTCCCACGTATCTGGAATCATTGATCAGTTTGATTTTGAGGCTTCTCGTTTCGTAAGATAGAAAGAGCCCGAAAGCAAGGACAATGCCTTTATAGCCATAGATCAAGCCTGGAAAAAAAAACAATATTTACAATTTCTGTACACGATTTGACATCATAATAGAATTAAGTATATCGGTTAGCACACGGCATTTATTTTCTGGCGTGCGTGCACTCTGAGTCAAGAATCGCACTCACCGAGCCACAAGCTATTGTGTTCGCTCTCACAATGTTCCAATTCGGGTTTGATCATTGCATCCTCGTCTCCATAAGGAGGTAGTTCCAGGGCGAAGGTCTCGATTCTTCGATGCAACGGATCGACTACTTGCCAAGTGACGAGGAGGATGATATCGATCGACAGCAATCCGCCCAGCATACAGTACAGCTTCCATGGTTCAATCTTCTTCTGTATAGACGAAACTTTTTGTTTAGCCGTCAATGACTAAAAGGAATCGAGAATAGGTTAAAGATGCGGGACATACGAGCGGGAACAGCAAACCATGCAGGATGGTTCCATCTTCATGAACAACTAAAAATCATTCTCGTTACTACTGAGGAGCTCAAGCGGAAAAGCGGTACGACTGTCTTCACAGAAGTCGTCTGATGGAAGACGAAGTAGTAAAAAAAAATATACATAGAATTGCGAATAATATTCGCAATTATTATTTAATAATATTCTCGAATATTATTAAAGATCATTCGTATCGCTTTATCAGCGGAGACCCGGTTATCCGTATTAAGTATATACGACTTACTTTTCCTTGATCGGCTTTTGCCTTCGTAGAGAGTCGATGGACCCTCCACACTTTACTAAACATGGCACCGAACGCCAGGGTGAAACCGACCGACATCGTCCACGCTCTAGCCTGGCAGACTATCAAAAACTGCCACGGCGTCACAAACCTACCGTCAACTCCTATACACAACACGGCCAAGAAGCAGATTATTATTCCTACTAGCATTATCGTGTTGGCGCTGGGATGAGACGAATATATAACTCTGAAAAGAGTAGACATCGGTTGTATACGTATATTGTAGTTATCGATTGTAGATTATAGATTGTAGCCTGGCCCGCGGTATATGTTAGATAACGTATTAACGAATGCAGCACGATGTATTATAGTATATACATATATAGTACGGTAGTATAGTATACCTTCGGTGCCTATTATAGACACTAAATACGATCAATCCGATGGCTATTATGATACCGATCACCGACAAGGCCGCCATACTTATGAATAAGGGCAGTGACACTGTTCTTAAAACGTTTCTTATTATTGTTCTATCCTGCGGCACCTTGCCACCGATCCATCGCTCTACGTTTCGCCATGTCAGATTGTCACTTTGTGTATCGTAGTACCCTAATTTAACGTACTTCCCGTCAATCACCTGCTCTATTTGCGTCAGAGCGATTCTATCACCCTGCGAGCTAAACGCGACGTGACCCTGTGGGGGAAAAACATTTTAACATTTAGAATTTGTGAACGAACGAGCAATTTTCTAGCTAAGGCTCTACGTACGGAAACTCCGAGAAACTGGGTCGAGTTTACCGCCGCGTATATCTCGTCGGCGATCTCTTTGTTTTCGTAAGTGAAGTTCTTCAAACTGTTCCCCAACTTGCTTAGCCTTTCCATGGTTCTGTTGAACGCTGATAGTAGAGACAAAGAAGGAAGGATCGATAAGACGATTATTGGTCGCCAACTTGCTGAGTTTCACATGTGTGCTCGAAACTCACCAAGAGCGACGGACCAAACGGCGTCGTAGGCGAGGGGCGCTTCCTGATATCCTTCCGGATATCGATCGTTATCTATGTCGTAACCGTCATCTTTCAGCAACTTGTTCAATCTCTTTCGGAAGTCCTCGGCGGTCATGCCGCTGATTGTCGTGTCGTTATTCTGATTCCACATAAGTGCCTCGGTGGTCAGGTGTCCCTCCGCTGCCATTCGCATTTGCTCCTTCGTACAGGTGATGCCTTCCTTTTCCAGATTAATCTCGAACCAATCATCCTCGTACCAGCCAATGAAGAACCACACGTAGGACTGGCCGTACAGCTTCTGGTGATAGAGCTCGCAGAGCACCCGTCTCGCGGCTACGACGTAGAACAAACCGACGACTATCCGAGCGTCCTGACGACGTAGATTCTTCACGGCATCCGTGGGATCCGACAGGAAGCTTTGACGAGTGACTATCTCTATCCCAGCTTCCTTACATCGTGCTTCTAGATCTTCGACGGTCTAAGACAATTTCATGGGTCAGATGTATTCGTACTTATTAATTCTGAATAATATTAATTCTGAATCCGGCCAGTTCTGTTTTCGAAGATAGATTATACTATATTAAGATATTTTCTTAGATTTATTCATCATGCAAAAGTCGAATCACTTTTAGTTTCCATGAACTTTACAAGAAAACAACCTAGACAACACGTATTGTCTAGCTAAAAGACTTTTTTATGTCTTTTAGATATCTGTTAGACATGCACGTTTCAAAAGACGTCTTTATAATATTTTTATGACATTTTTTAAACATGCATGTTATCTGGGGAAGTATATTTTTGAGATTATATCTTACCGATATAAATACTTCTTCGGCTTGCTGCAATATCGCTACCCGAGACCAGCCGAACTTTTGCAACAATTTGATTCTCGTGGGATTGTGCACAGTGGCGGAAGGATGCGTTCTGAACAAGGTCGGGAATCGATTTCGGTCAGACAGCGCCGGCGACGATGCACCGTAGCAGAGCTAAGGATATCGTAGACGTTCTCATATATCTGTTATATACATTTTATACCACGGAATATATGATCGCGATGAAATACGAGATTTACATAAACGCGACCGAAGGAGGGGGAAAAAGAAACGAATGGATACTCACCACCACCAAGTTCCACATCTTCGCCGCCTCGGCGACTGTAGTGCATACCGTACTGCACCCAGCCAACAGCATTAATTTATAGGGTGGAAAGTATAGTAAGTTGTACATTACGGATGCGCCGAGGCCGGGCTCGCACTGTAATGTAATAAATAACAGAGGTAATTTTATATATCGTGCAAGACAGCGGTGACGGCGGCGGTGACCATCGTCCATCATTATAATGCCATTAAAAGCATCTTCGTGAGTTTACCTCGCTATCGTTGGAATGGAGGTGCAGTCTATATCCGCGTAACAAGTTCTTTTCGCGATTAACGTCCTCTAAGGCCAGGCGCGCAGCTGGCATGCAAGCCTGTTGAATAAATGATAATGCAATTTAGCTTGATTAATCCTTTAATTTGATGAACCGGCTTTGCATGCAGGATTACAAGCAGTGCCACGTCATTCGTGGCTAAAAGATGCTTTCTCACAGGTGGGATTGCGACGCAAATATTCGTGGCGAAAATAAAGATTGGAACGTAAATCGAGAGGAAAGGTAGAATGGCAGAAGCGTAAACGCTAGCAAAATGACACAATCGACTCTCTTCTTTCGATTTGAATAAGCTTTGAATATGTTAAAATATAGACAAAAAAAATAAGAGATGTGATTTTTTATAAATGCTGAGTCATACATTAAGAGGGGTGAAACTTTTCCTAAAAAAATCAATTTTTTTTTCTTTCAGAGCAAATATCGTCTAAACTGTGAAAGATATAGAAGGATATCTTAAATAAAAGTTGAATAATTTTAAAAAGTACTTTATAATAATAATGATTAAAACTTTTAATTTTTAAAAATTAAGATATTAAATAAGCGGTTCAATTAATGAAAAATTTTAAACTAAACCAAGAGCTATGAGCCAAACTAATGTAATAATGTAAATTAGTTTGGCTCATAGCTCTTAGTTTAGTAGTTTAAATTTTTAATTTTTTATAAATAAAAAATTTTTGTTAAAAATATGTTTTTATCATTATTATAGAATAACTCTTATAGAGTAATTCTTAAAACTAATCAACTTTTATTTGATTTTTTAGATGCGACTCTTAATGCGACTCGACATTTATAAAAAATCTTTTTTTTTTACTTTTTTCTATATTTTTAACGATCCAAAGCTTTTCAAAATCGAAGGGGAACAGTCGGTTGAGCTTACGAAGCATAAATTGGAACAGCAAAACGTAAAAGAAGTATTTTAAAAAAGTATACGCCCCTTTTATCGCTGTTTCAATTTTTATGCTTCCTAGAGCTTCCGTTTACACTTCTGTTACTCTGCCTTTACATTCGACTTACGTTCCGATTTTTATTTTCGCCAGGAAAATTTCGCAGTGTTAAAATGACACTGGGAGAATATTTGTGAAAAACTGAAAATGCATTCAAGTTGCGTCGTGTTTTAACCGAATAAATAGTGCTCATTTATGCAGACAGTTTTAAAGCTCCCTCGTGCTCGTCGAAAAGTGTATATTATAAAAGTAATAAAATTATAAAATTGTTTGTTTGTCAGAAATTGAATAGTTTTTCGATAAATTTGTAGGAGAATTTTTCGAAACAGTTCATTGCGTATGCAGATTACTTTACGTGGTTGTATCAACTTTGCACCGCGTAAAAAGAATAGATTACCATCGCATTTAATCGTAAAGTGAATTAAATACTACTTCGTTTATTTAAAAAAAAATATCAAAATATAAATTATTCACCCTTTTATTTTTTTTGGTACATAAATCATATTACGTTTAATTCTTAAGTAAGGCATGAATTAAATATACACTGCTAGAACGATGGTAACATATTCTATTGAGTTAAATTTTGTCATTTTTAACTTTCATGTGCGTCAAAATGTAAATTATTTCTGTGGCTAGTTTTAAAGTAAACACTGTTTATATTAACGTATGCACATTTAAAAAAATATAATAAACTAAATTTGGCTCAAATTTAATATAATTTCATGTTAAATTGTTTAACTCCATTATTTTAGTTATATTAACGACATATTGAATATGGAACAATGGCAACCTATAGAAATGATTAAAAATAACTCAAATTGAGTATAATTTAACAATATGAATTTAATAGTGTAACTACGCCGTAGAATAAACGCAATGTTGTAAAATAAGCATTTGCAATTTAAATGAAAATTGGCGAAAAGTAATGAATACCTCATGTAGAATTTTCTCTGTAAATTACCGCGGGTATCAAATAACAACGCGGAAGAAAATACAATCTTCAACAAGAGATAATTATGACAAGAGATAATCATGACGCGAAAATAGAGAAGCGAGTTACTAAACCGCGATTTCTCTACTCTTATTGTTATCTTTGTTGTCCTTCCGTTGCAAATCCAGGAGCTTTTAAACCTTAACTATTCGTGAGAAATGCGTACTTCACTAAATTTGCTAAGGATTTTACTCGATCCTTCGAGATTTTCCGGAGCTTTAAGAACGCTTCGACGCGCATGACTTTTGAACACGGGGCAAAGAAAGATGTTCCTCCACGAGTAAACTTGCTCGCCGTTATAAGAGAACTTCTGGAATTCGATTTCTAAAGTTTTGGAACGGCTCGTGAAGTTTCTCGGAAATTTTGCTCCCGCTATCGATGTTACAAGGTCGTTTATCGAACAATTCGTGAGTGCGAGGAAGCGAAAGACGTAAGACGGGAGGATGAAAGGAAACGAGGGAAGCTGCAAGCAATCATGATATCGCGTAACAATTCATCTTTCTTCGTAAATACATGTACAAATCTAAAAATGAGCAAGGATATTCATCATATCTCTTACCGAATTCATAAGGATATCACTGCGAGATAAATGCAAAAAGAGAATAACTGAGCCTCTTAGAAGTCAAATCGATTGACTCTTATCATGCGTTCTTTAATTTTAGTATCAAAGAACAAAATTAGCTTATAAATTTTTTAATTTCCTATATTTTTTTCCACAGAATCGATCGATTTGGCTTTTGAGAGGATAAATTAAAACTCCCGCAAATATGAAAGTATCGGGCAAAGAAAATATCAGGTCTATCATCACTCTTATCAATGTCGATACCGCGCATATTAATTAACGATCGAAGATTAATTTTGACAAATAAATCGTTGGAAACGGAGCGTTGGTTCTTCGTTTACCAGTTGCTCAACATTCTATCTCAAAGGCTATGGTCCACCTGATACCTACAAATGCTTTAAAGTATTCTGTAATTGATCAGTTAGTAAACCACTCTCTTCCGATTTATTAATCAAATTCCAAGTATTCGTAGCGTTAAGTAAATTATCTAAAGCAAAAAGCTAGTTGTAACGTGCAATAAATAAAAAGACGTTAAATATCTTAAGTGACATCATTAATGAACAAATAAACCGTCCCTTTGTTTACCCCCTTCGTGATGTTCGTACATTTGAAACGAAAGGAGAATAATTACGTCGAGCTTTCTCTTACCTGGCCACCTTGCCAGCCGCCCTCTCCAGCTACAGGGAAGATGCCACCGATGTGCAGGACGTTCTCCTCCTCGTCTTCGGGTGGTAGCAACGCCTCGGTCCAGAGCGCTGCCATTAAAAGCACAATTAAGCCCAGCAACATTGCGCATTGCCGAGGAAGGCCGCTCGCCATTCCGCCAGCAGCGTCTTGCCTTCACGCGCGCTCGCTAAAACCGTACGTTTTTCTCTCCCTCTCCCTCTCTCGCTCTTTAGCTCTCTTCTACGACATACCGGGTGTAGTGGGACACGTAGTGGCAAAATCGGTGGTGTGCAATGTCGTCGAGAAAGCGCTCACTGCCATCGTCCTCGCCCGATCGACCTCGTCGCCAGACTAATCGAACACTTTTTCTCTCTCACTCTCTCCCTCTCCCTCTCCCTCTCCCTCCCTCTCTCTCTCTCTTTCTCTCTCTCCCTCTCTTTCTCTTTCACCCTCTTCACGACGCTGCTGCGTACTCGTTCGATCGCCCGCGAATCTCCTCGCGCGAATGTCACTCTTCTCTTCGTCCTTCGTCCACCCCGACTCCTTTCGTCTCTTTCTCCTCTTTCACCACGATCGACTAAAATCAGTTCCGACGAACAGTTCCTTCTCCCCGAAGCTTCCGTTTCTTATTTAATTGTTTACGAGTTCGTTTCCTGCGGGGGATGTTTTTGTCCACGATCCTCCGCACGTCAGGAGTTGGGAACCGATCAAGTTCTCGAATTGGAATACCTCGCCGACACTCCGCTCCGCTCGGGTTACTCGTCGCGCGCGGGTTTCGCGTGCGAATGGCAGGCGAGGGTGGCCACCCCCTAGAGATATATCGGGACCGAGCCCGATTCGATACCCGTCCGGCGTCGGACAGGCGCGTGAGGGAGAGCTGGGGAGAGCGATTCGCGGTCACCCCGCGGCTGATGAAACGGAGGGGATCGGGGATGATGGGGATGATGGCTCACGGCGCTCGTACTTCCGCCGCGCCGCGGCCGGTCTCGCGCAAGGACATGCTCTCTGGCTCTGCCTTCGCGTGACCGGGAATTTTGCGTAGCCGCGGAGAGATTCAGCGGCGAGCGCGCTTCGCGGGCGTATTCATATCGATTCTCAACCCTCTAGCTAGAGGGTCAACAGGGAGTCGAGTGGGGTAGGGTGGGTAGGATATGATGGAACGGCAGGTAGAAGGGTAAGAGGGAGGCTCGAGAGAGTGAGAAAAGATGGCTCCGTGAAAACGGCGCTCGCCTTCGTCATTCGTGTGAAAATCAATATGGCGCGGGTGATTTGAGTCACAATTGCGTTGTGCAAATCATTCTTATTTCTATCGATATAGATTAGCTTTAATCTCGGTTTAACTTGCTCTTTATTTTTTTTTAGTTTTAAGAATTAAAAAAAAAAGGATAAAGAGTAAGTTAAATGGAGATTAAAATTTATTTATTTTAGAAATGAGTATAAGTAAAATTCTTTTTTCTTTTGCCGATCTTCCCAAAAGTTCGTTTCGATGAACGAGAAGAAATCTAAGTTATATATATATCTATAATTTAATAATATTCACAAATGTTTAAAATATTTCTTTATATTAAGATGCAGTTGAATAATAATAATGATGACAAACACGAGAGATTCTAGTATCGAATTTGTTAAATCGTAAACCTAAATCACGATCGTAAAACCAAAATCAATTTTTTAAAAATTAAATCTTGCTTTGTGCGTGCAAACTTAAAAACCTATATAGACCGTGCTTTGCGTAAAAAGTTGTAAACCCACACGAGTTTACAACTTTTCACATATTAGCTACGGTGATCATACGTCTTTTATTGTAAAGGACAGTCTTTTATTTTAGATAGCTGTCCTTTAGATTTATTGTTCCTTCAAAACTCAATTTTGTCCTTTATTTTCCAATATTGTCCTTTACTGTCTTTTATTTTGACATTACAGAAAATTCTTTTCTAACTAGTGTTTCAATGTCTATTTTTTTACGGAAAATATTTTATAGCATAATATCATACATATAAATATAATTTGTTAATTATATTTCTTAATTTTTAAATGAAATTTATTCAAACTCAGAGTTGTTTTTATTTTTTTATTATTTCAGATCAAGAGTTTATTTCAATACCAGTTTCAAACTATCAGAAAACTGCGCATTATCTCAATTTGATTATACTGTGCCGTAAAATTTTATAATGCACAGATTCTTGACAATCATAAATTGGTTTGAAAATTTTTTATAGTCAATGAAATAGCACCCTAACTCCGTGTATTGTAGATCGTAGATGATAGATGACGCATTACAATAAGTAAAGTATATACGTTCCTGAAATATAACAGCGTATATACTGGTATATACTTAATATATACATATGTGATATACGTATCGTTTGCTCTACGCATGCGCAAGATTTGTTCCCTTCCTTTCTAGTTTCTACCCGCAATTCCTGTTCCTTTCACTCCGACACTTCGTTGTGAGATTCGCTCGTCATTTTTTTTGTGCTGCGTGCCGTGGTCCTTCTTGTCATCATTGACAGTGTTGCACATGTTATTCCCTTTTAGTGCGACACAATGGCCACACAACGTGCACTTCCTCAGAGTAAAGAGGCGTTATTGAAATCATACACGACGAGGTTAAAAGACGACGTGAAGTCCATGCTGGAAAATTTCGAAGGTACTTTTCTAACCTCTGCCTTAGGTATCCTAACCTATTTTCGTAGGCGTCTTCGCCTCTACAATTACATCAAATAGTTAATTTGAAAACATTATAACAAGAATTGTAGCATCTGACTGTTATATACCTCAAGAAGAGACTGAAGGTAGAAAATGCCACTAACCTGTGGGAGTAACTCCAAAACTACTCCGGTGTTTTCGTCCCCAATAATTGAGTTTGTTTTTTGTAATTGAACTTTTTGGGTTTTGTAGTTAAATATTCTGTCTTTATTCTCTTTTTCTTCGGTTACTTATATATACTTTAACTGCAAAAAGTGTAATATAGTGCAGCTACAAGCAACTTATTGCACTTTGATATGATTTTGATAGTCCAGTTATTTGAATTTCTATCTTCTCCGAGAGACACCAAGTATCATAACTTATTTAATTCATTATCTTGAGATTTGCTTCTGTTTCTTTGCAATACAATATTTTCCCGGTATATATATTCGTTCAATATTTCTCATGTTGAATAGTAAGAATGAATCGAGATGTTTTCGACAAACAACTGACAAAGCTAATTCTATAATTTCAAGTATAATTTCTCAGAACGTATCCAGAAGTTTATATATATGAATTTAAAGGACTCTTTATTTTTGTGATTGTCAATCAATAAATTATCATTGTAGTATAATAGAAAGATTGAAATTCTAAAAACATAACGTAACATAAAAATGTAAAACAAAAACGTTATTAGTATTAAAGATGTAATATAGAAAAATAAACGTGAAAACAATTATTTTTAATTATTAACATTGAAAATTATGTCATATAATAAAATTAAAAGAAGTAAAAATTCATACTGCAATAATATTAGAATATTAACGTAGTAGGGTTTAGTAATATTTAATACTTCATATAAGTATAATTTTTAACTCTATTTGTATGTATAAAATTTGGAAGGAGAAAAATTTATATCGGATAACATGATTTGTATTACCTTTATTAATTATTAATATCTATCTTAATTCTGATTTATTTTTGCTGTTTTCAGAGATAATTAAACTCGCAAAAGGAGAAAATGACTCTCAACTATCTCGAATGACACAATGCGAGCAAGATACATATGAAATGCATGTCAGAGCAGCTAATATTGTGCGTGCTGGCGAATCATTAATGAAACTAGTCTCTGACATAAAGCAATATTTAATTCTGAATGATTTTCCGTCTGTAAATGACGCCATAATACAAAATGGCAAATTATTTAGGACTAAGCAAGTAGAATGTGATCAAAAATTGGCTTCCCTGAGGGACGACATGGCTGCGGATTTATACGATCTGGAAGAGGAATATTATACTTCCATATACAAATAACACTAGTTTAAGTTTAAGCTTAATTTAATGCTAGTCCTGTAATATATTTGAGACTGTTTTCTAAACCCGAATTACAAAATGATTCATTCATTCAACTTGTACATTGTCCATTTATTTAAATAAATAGAATTAATTTTTTATAACGTTTTACTGCTTTCTTTTAATCTTGTGGAGATTTATAGATGAGAATCCTGAATAAGAAATAAGGAGTAATTGTCTCTTTTATTACTTCGATATTTTGTAACACATAGACGATACATCACACAATACTCTTACATATTTAAGAAGGTAATAATATAGATCCAAGCTTCAGTTATTAATAGTCACCTCACAATCGTTTCCACTTATTGTTGTTTACTTGAAACGTGGTATTTCGTGATTCTGTACAATGGTAATTTACAAAACTGTTACACAGCTCTCCTGTATTGGAGCAAGGAGATTACAATTATGATTAATTAATTGACAAATTAAAAAAAGACCTATACGTATACAGTTTCAATTTGGAATGTTGCACAAACGTGATCTGATTTGCTTTTTGTAATGTTCGTGTATTGTAGCAACAAGATACAAAGAGTATCAACAACTTGCTGGGTCTGACGAATAATTGGAAATTATGTTTTATACTAGAAAAGATTAACAAAAATATCACAGTGTAAGACACAACGCTGTGACACAAGAACGAGTCTTTCAAACAACGGTACATCGTAAACTATTCGGTGAACTGGTACAGCATCTAAATAAAGTAAATATATTTGAAATTCTAACAAAACGCGGCAGCAGTTTACTTTTAATGCACCTTCGTAATAAATTATCTTTTTATCGCGTTCTCTTGCTTGAATCAGTCCACTGTCCAAGTCATAAAATCATATTAACTACATATCGTTACAATCATACATTATTAAATACCTACACCTACACGATTCAAAACAATATTTTCAATTATCCATGGTAACGCATCCGAGATGTGCTTCATAGATGATAGAAGAAATTAACACAAAAGAAAAAAAAAAGACAAGTAATACAAGAAAGTTGATCTTAAAATAATGTAATTTCTTTTCTCGAACTTTCGTGACTCGATTAACTTATCTTGGATGGCTCTTCTCGACCCATAATAATTTAGTATTTACAAAATTCAATTTCCTTAAAATTAATAATTAACATTAAACCGCCGTTTTCATCTATGTAACTTCTATGCTGAAAAGCTATTCATGTATTATGATCCTTGAAAAATAAATGCAAACTCAATATGAAAAGACACGCTGTAATGGCTTATCTTCGCATTTGCAAGGCATAGTATGATCTGCCATACGTTCGGTACAAATGACGATGTGCTTTGAAATTTACAATTCTTACAGTTTTGTCGAACTGGAACACTTATTGTACATATACATTATTAAATATACTAAGTAGACTTACGTTCTACTTTGGCAAAAACGTTTACAAATCTAAACTCGAGTTGTTTTTTTTTCCTGAACATTTTCCCCCTCCAATTAAATCTCAAAGACATTCAACCGTTTGCCTTTTTTTCTATAAAAAAAACTCGCATAAAAGTCTGGCCTTTTACTGGCAGCTTGAACACTCACAGCTTAGCATTAAAGTAATCTCAAAAAGGTTACAAAACTTGATTCACTCGTCGATTTATTTTCTATCTTATAAAGTATGCCAGAAAGATGATATGCTGTTTTTATTTTGTTTTTCTTTTAGCAACAGAGTATCAGTCGCTGAGCTCTTTCTTTCAAGTGCTATTATAAAAAAACCAGCACTATATAGCGTATCTTGGCAGTTTCGATGATTCATTGTGTAAGAAAAGTTCGCTGATTTGACTGCATAGCGTAACAATACAAAGTAAATGCATATACTTGGAATGATACTGTTAGTTTTTACTTAATCATCTAAATAAACTTCGCTTTTAATACTCAGCGCGTTCATGAGCGGAGATTGCGCTTTTGATTTCTTTTTATAATTAAAAAAAGTTTTCTTAATTTAATGTGCACTTGACGATAACTTATCTGTGGTCCAACATATCGTCCGGTCATGAACGCGAACATCTAAACCTGTTCTCTATGAAAAATTCGCTTTATATACTTATGTGAGCATTTGTCGTAAATCTTTTTTTTATTAAAGTTTATTATAATATATTGATTCTTTTGCATTTGTATAGTTTTTTTTTGCGATCTTCTCGCCGCTAGGAAAAAAAGGAATACTTAATATTAGCCTTATAAGTTTCATTCTTGTTTCGTTCGTTCGTTCTATTACTGCGGAGGGACGTTGAGCTTGTGAATGATAAAACATCATTCTGCATTTCTTTTCAATAAAGAAGATCGCCGGTCGTCTCCGAGCCCCAAGCACCTGCGTCCTGAGCCGGTCTCAAGTATCCCATTTCGCTTGCATTCTCGGCTTGCTCGGTTGTTGTTGTCGTTGTTATTGCAGCTGGGGTCGGAACCATCAGTATAGCCCTGGTGATACCCAGCTCGAAACCTTCCGACGTCAGATCCACTTTGCTAGGAGTGTAACTGGCTAGTCCACCTCCACCTACAGATAACGAGTGTCAAGTAACACGGATGTATGTACTTTGCTTCTATCTTTTCTATCTGCTTAACATATGTTTATCGATTAAGTAACAAGATTATAAGATAAAACATTTTCTAGGATTATCAATGATATCTCTAGAGTATTTTATGATATAATAATTTCCGTTAATTACTTGATTACATTATCGTGTTATAATTGCAAAAATGTCTTGTCAAACTACAAACGGGACTCAAGTTTGATCTTACCGAGAAGAGATGGCATGTTCGTTGTCGAGCTGGGTGTCGAAGAGATTTTGTTGTTACTCGGCGTAGAATGTTGCTCAACTATGGAACTAGAAGTTTCGCCGTCCACGCTGCTGGTCTCGCCTTCGAGGATCGACGCTTCGCTGGGGTACTCGAAGGTACGTGTGGCGGTGTCGTCGAACTGTATTCGATGCTGAAATCACAACGTGGTTTAATTAATTTGAGCCGCTGTAAACGAGCATAATACGAAACGATTTGCACCGTTTGAAAATATCGCGAGTTCGCGGCGATAAATTAATTTATGTGTACGCGCGCAGGGCATGAAGAATCGTTGCCGGGTGTGTGCAGACTGCAGAGGGTATTCGCATATGTAAACACGTGTTACACAGCCAACACGGCGATTTATGTTCGCCTTTTGCGCCTTCAGCAGAACAGTTACACGTGGAAAAATTTTGTGAGGCGCGCATCGTGTAATAAGCATCGCCGTGCGCTCGCGCGGGTACAAATGAGATACGGGGAGAACAACAACGGCAACCGCATATAATGTAGCCTCGAATAACAGGATCTGGTCACACTCGATGCTTTTTCGACCTGCGAGCGGCAAGTGGGGACGATCGCCCATCCGCCCGTTCGTCGTCATCGTCGTCGCCGTCGTCGTCATTGTCGTCTTTGTTCGTCGCAATGTAAATCATCAAGGGAGAAAGCACTATTGTGTCTTCTGCTTATGATTAAACAACAGTCGTTATACTAGGTCTATTCTTTTTTTGCACAGTTCATCGTTCCTCTTTTTCTTTTTACCTTTTTAGTTGAAGACAAAAATAGAAAAGATAAACTGTGCAAGAAGTTTAGCAAAAAAGAACAGATATATTATATAACAGTTCAGAAGATATAATACTTGTTTTTAGTTTAGCTAAATATATATCTTTTCCTCGTGAATATAAAAATATCCATTTCTTTTATGGTAAAACATGTGTGGAAAACTTAAAATCGAATTTTATGCAAAAATATATCACATACCACAATTTTAATGCATCTCCATCGAATTCATCCATTTCTTTTGTTTCAAAATAATATGACAAAATAATTTTTTGTTATTATTTAATATATACTATCGTGCCAATTTTAGGTGAGTTGTCGGTAATCCACGAAATGTTTATTTATATTTGTTAATTAAAATATATTTTATAATAATTAAAAATTATAAAAATTATTATTATAAAAAAATAATTATCATAAACAAAGTCTAATATACCAAATGCAAATATGCGTGAATATACGTTATAATTATGTATTCACGCATATCAGAAATTATTTTATAATTATGTTTGTTTATTGTCAAAATATTATATTGGAAAAAATGGAAAATGGATCACCGACACAGAACAGAAAGTGTTACATAATAAATTATACAACTTATACCCTTCTGTGTATTAAAAAAAATAATATTAAAAGAGTTATACATTTTTCATAAAAGCATTTTTAGAAATTATCTTTTAACTTCTTAAATATGTAACGAAATAAAAATATTGTACAATATTTTTTTATTTGTGACATAAATATTCTACAATTTTTTATTTATTTGTAACATAAATATTCTACAAATATTATTTCCGACACGTTTTGATGTAAAGCCAAGATTTACATCAATCCGTGACTGGCTATGACTTAGCCTGACGGTCTGGCGATAACAGTACCGGCGATTATTTCAACTAGGGATTGACTGCTCGCTTCATGTAATTATATATACGCATCATTCTTTCTCTTCCTGAGGCGTCATGAAATATAAGAAAGAAAAAAAACAAATCGACAGATCGATCTCGGACGTCGACAGCAATATGTTTTTTCGGGATATGAGATTGTGAATTGTGCTCTCGTGATTAAAATCATCCTTCACGGGCCATCTTCTTTCTTCACTTTTTTTTGTGTTTTTTTGCTGACAAGAATTTTCAAAGTAAATGAGCACCTAAGAGATGCGAAAAGTCATTTCAAGCCACGATACTGCGCTTTCTAGAATGGCGCTCCACTTTATCGGGGTATTCCTCGTACTCTTCGTCACAAATTGCAATTAGCATTTTCTCACCGAGCGAGTGACTGCGACAATCATAGACCGTTCCGGCTAGCTGGCTAAGTGGCATTAACAGCAAAACTTGAGAAACGAACGCGAGACTTTCCACAGTCATCTTCAGAGATGCCTCTTCCTTACGACAACGAGCGAATTTAAATACTACGCTCCAATACCTCGATTAAATCTAATTTGTCAGATTCAGATCTTTTATCGATCGTAGAAATTGATGTCAGTATTATTAAAATGATGATTGATTTTCGTGGCTGATAAAATTGATAATGAAAGTTCGATAAATATTTGTGATAATTAAATCGCGTATAAAACAAATATGTTGATTCTCTTTTATATATGCAATTGTCTAATCTAAGATAAGATATTTGGATTGTCGCTTTCGACCTCAAGATAAAATTGAACGTTGATTTCAAGCAATTGCAATTACGTGGTTCGTGTATTTTATAATTACTCATGGTTCATTGTTGTGTGTTTTGTAATTACAATTTATTGTCTTGAATTTTTACAAATGATTCCGGACCAAATGTTGTAACATTCTTGAGACTAAGAGTACCTAGATATTTTAATTTTAAACTGAATATGGAAATCAATTTTTCATATTCAATTTTGTTCAATAAGTTAATTATAAATATCGGTAGAGATATCTACATGATTGTCAAATTATCTGAAAACGATTAAAATAACAAAGAAAAATATTAAAGAGATATACAGATAAATATAGCAATTTATAACTCTGATACTGTTAAGTTAACTTTATACTTTTTAATAAAGAAAAATATTCCACGTCTTTAAGATATAAATCATGTTTACGTATCCGAAGAATAAATATAAATTCAATAATTTAAGACGCGTAAAAATAATAAATTTAGTCATCAGTAATCGGATTGACGTTTGCAATTATTCCATAGACAGCTTAATGAATAGCTCCGTCTCATATTATAGTAACTTTATACATCAAGAATATTTCTTCTTTAGCAACATCGCAGTAAAAAGTACTTATTATGCTTTTCTAACGGCGTTGTAAGGAAAGTTTGAAGCGTTCTGCGATCGTTTCCTCTTCAAATTTGCGATCGCAGATCGCAGTGGTCTTTTCAATTGCGAAAAGATGCCCAGGAAAAACGGAAATGAAAACTGTACGAAGACTTTCTTCTCGCCAAGGAAATATTGTCGATAAACGTAGCGTGACGATTGACAAGGAGCAAGTATCACAATAGAAAGTCTCTGCACAACGCATATTGATAGGAATCACATATACGTATAATATAAAAAAAACAGTGCTAAACTGTTTTGAAAGATACGTGCAAATCATCGCACAAAGTCGCGCACGTTCACCATATTGATTTCTTTACAAAGGATGCAGCAGATTATCCCAAATCAATGAAGCATGTTACAACATCACGTGCTGTAATTGCCATCGTAAAATTCTAAAAGATTTTTAATGTATTTTTGAAATTTCTTTAAGAAATATTTCAAACGGTTTTCTAAAAAATAATGCCTATAGTATAACAAATCTTTTGTCTCACTATCTGTGGTGCACCTTTTAAAGAGATAAAAGAAAGTGTTTCTAAATCTTTTCCCAAAGTCTCCCAGGTACACCTGTGATATGACTTCCTCTTAATTGATCCCGTTCTTCGCAAATACTAATTTTTATCTTTTTTCTAATTATTACTCCTTTTAAAAAAATAATCTTTATTTTTCAGGATGTATTGTCCTATTTGTTATGATTATTTTAATAAAGATCCGCTCTTCTTATTAGTGAAGATTCATTTTGAGCTGTATTTTCCAGTTTTCAGAGTAACTAGTAAAGAATGTACCTTCTACTCACTATCGTACTGTAATCTTGTGTTTACCTGAAGTTGTCCAAGAGGACAATTTCTCTATATGTATACACTTAAAATATTATTGCGTCAAAAATATTCATTCTGTGTGATCACTGAAAGTGTATTTTCGTTTCACATGAAAAATGAACATATCTTACTCCATTTAATTCGTACGTAAAATTTTATTAGTAATTCATACTCTTGTTATTATAACTTTTAATATAAGGTTTTGTTTTTTGTATGTAATATTATTTCTTATAACATTATTTTGTCTTGTTATTGTTACGGATAATTAGAATTTTTCTGATTAAAAAGAGAATATTTTACTCCTTTTCGAAATTGCATAACAAATGTTAAGAAGTTCAGAAAGAAAAATGCTGCCATCGATGATGTACTAATGTTTCAAAATTAATTTAAAAGATTCATTTGTATACGATTAATCTGCATCAAATTATAAATAAGGCATAACGTAAGATAAAATTTTACATGAACACATTCGTTACATGTTTCATAGCACGCACCTTTCATATAGGTTTTGGAAAGTGAATGCTATGAAGTAAGCGAATAACTGTACGGAATCTACGCATAAATTCCGTGCAAGGAAAATATCAGCGTGACCTTTGAGACAGAAGGATACAACACGACTCTTGCAGCATCCACGCTACGATATCGCTCTTCCTGAAATACGAAGGCCATGCAATATAGATAACCAAGGCACCAGGAAGAGAGAATTTATGGTCTCTAAGCGGCGTATCCTGCCAGGATCCTCGTACTGAAACCCCATGTATCTCTCCGTAGGTTTTCCACGACAGTGTTAAATGGACGTGCACATAAAGGTCATGCCGCGGGGCAAAAACTGGATGCAGAGACGCATCCGTTATGTCCTAATAAAACGCGGGTAAACCGCGCGCGAGTTCTCTTACGCACACCGTGTACGCACTTCTGACGCAATTTAGACGCGGCACCGCGCGATTACTCGATCGAGCGAGTTGACCAACCTTGGGAAATTGCTCTTGAAATGTAAAATTTGTCCAGTGGGACGAATGCAATCTATGAACCGATCACAGAATTTATAGACGCACTTCTGCATCTACAAGAATTATAATTATATTTTCCTAAAAATAAGGATATGACACCTTTACTTTTCGATTATATTATTGTATAGTCATAAACTACTGTACCGTTATAGAGTATAGCGATTGTAAATGAATGCCGTTATAGACTATAGCGATTGTAAATTATTGTCGTTATTTATTCATTAAAAAGAAAGATAAATCATAAGATTTCTCATTTACT